AGTGACAGGACCAGAGGCAATGGGCACAACCCGAAATACAGGATGTTCCCTCTGAACATCAGGAAACATCTTTTTACTGTGAGGGTGACCAAGCATGGGCACAGGTTCCCCAGGTTGGTTCTGGAGTCTCCAGCCGTGGAGATACTCCAAAGCCACCTGGACATGGTCCTGGGCAACCAACTCTAGGTGGCCCTGCTTGAGCCGCTTGGGTTGGACAAGGTGACCTCCAGAGGTGCCTGCCAACCTCAATCGTTCTGTGATTCGGTGATTTGTGGCCTGATTTACCGTAGTACTAAGATTACAGTGGTCATATCTCAAACTGGTTGTTCCAGGTCCCGTTTTAGTCAATGGAGAAAAAAAAAAAATAAAAAAAAAATTGAGTTTTTGAGGTGTGATTCATTGCACATTGAAGTAGTCATCCAAAAATAGGTCAGATGGACTGTGCCCTAAAAGTGCCAATATGACTGTGAAGGAAACCTGAGGTGACTGGCTTAATTGGACACAGGTACCCTGCAGCTGTCTGGTGTTAGGTAAGACGAATCCCAGCCAAAGATTTAATGAACAAGGTGTACTATACTCTTATGTCTGCCCAGCATGCTGCTGACAATTGATCGTGTAGGTGCAATGGACAACATACTGTCCAGCTGGGGAGGATGGACAGGATGAGGATCTGAATCAGCGGGTGAGATACTTCATCGCTGTTCAGAACGTTTTTCTTCAACAGTAAATGGGCAGTGAGGTCTCAGAAGGACTCGGCTCTGAGGCAGCTGCTGAAATTGTTTCTTGGTGTATAGTGAGACATGCAGCCAGTTCTAAAAGGCTGTTTTTAGATCATGGACATATCTGCCAGCACAGATAAGGAGCTGCCTGCCAATTCCAAACATACACACACACAGACATTTACTCAATCACACACAAACATAAACAAGCAAATAAACAACCTCCCCCCCTCCCATAAACTAATCAAGCTTTTTCTCCTTCAGATGGAAAAGGAAGAAAGAAACAGCCTGCTATTGTTTTGGTTTGTTTTTTTCTTCTTTTCTATTTTTAAATACAAGGAGGGGCTTAGATACTATATTGAAGCTGGAGCTATTTAGATACGTAAATAAAATATGCAGATTTAAGAGTTAGTTTAGCCCTATCTATCTGGAAAATAGACGGAAATAAAATCATGAAACTTTTGCCAGCTTTATTAAATGAGATTGGAATCCATCCATTATGTGGGGGCCTTCAATCTTCACACTATGAATCAACAAAATCAATGAATGTTGGGCTTAATTGGCCAAATTGATTGTATATTAAAACTGATTTAATTACTTTGTTGTCATTCTAGTAGGAGTAAATTTGGCTAAGTCACTTTGATTTTTAAATGCCAGTCTTTCTGTAGGAATTTTGGAAGGAGTTGGGGAATGACCTTGTTCAAGATTCAGAATAATGATTGTTTTGGCTTGGTAAGCCTGGCCCTGTTTTCCCTGCCTTGAAACTTTCTCTCATCTGTTGAGGAACCTTCAGAATTGAATTGAATTGAAGGAAAAGTGCCCTGAGACTTTCTGTGAGTATTCAAGTAGTGGATAACATGAATTTTTAAGCTGACATAACAAGTCTGATTCATTCCTGACATAGCTGGGCATAATACTGGAGATGTTAGAGTATGTGGAAGATAGCACTGCCAGAGAATGTGCCATAAATATAAAAGAGAATAATTAAATTAGATCCTCTCAGGATGAACGTGCTAAACTGAGACCAAAGTGCATGTACAGTATATTAAAAAAAAAAATACTTGTACTGCACAGGCAGTGATTTGGCTGATGTTTGAATTCAGTGAAACTTTTCATGCGAATAATTTCAGTGAAGCTACTCATGAGAGTAAGTTCCTCTCATGGAGAAATGGGTTCGTGGAGTCACTGACATATTTCTGACCTGAAGCCATGTAGATGCAATAAGACTGAAACCAGCCATTTTATTTCTTTTATTATTTGTGGTTCAGTGGCTGAGTCAGGCGGTTGGAGTTCTCTTTTTCCTTCTGGTATAACGTTGAAAAACTATTTCACCATTGTGTGCCACGGTTTCCTTAGTTACAGGTATGAATAGTAGTGCATAACCATCTTTGAAAAGAGTTTTGAGAATTGTAGAGTAAAGCTTGAGAGTGAAAAGTATTTGTATTATTTTCACTGTCAGAATTCACCAACTGCAGGTTTGTCCCCTTTTGCAGTACTCATACATCGCTCTGTCCAATTGGTATTTTGGAGGTTATAAACACATATCTTGTAACACTGAAAAATAACACCATTGAAGATGAGCCAACAGCAAAACATTGGTATTTTGGAGGTTATAAACACATACCTTGTTAACACTGAAAAATAACACTATTGAAGATGAGCCAACTGACATTATGTTAAACAGCACATCAGAATTAATTCAATTTTATCTGTTGGTTTTTTTTTAATGGATATCATGAAGACCTTTATATCATTGATTTTGGTTATGTCATGGCTATCTACACCTCTGGATTTCACTGAATAAAATTTCTTGAGCTGTGGGCCAATGCTTTGTAAGGCCACCCATACAACAGCGAAATGGTTGGGAACTCCAGCCCACTGAGTGAGACTCAGTTCCAGATTAAGACCTTTGCAGTCAGACCTCTCTATGTGAAACAGGAATCTGTGCTGCCGTCTAACAGAGATGGAGATCTGGTTAAAACACTCAGTAGTGACTCCAGAATGTCCTGGCCAGCTAATGGAGACTGGTTTCAGCCATCTAAACAGAGGTATCTATCCTCACTTTTAGGTGGTGTGAACCTGGCCTGTAGTTGTCATTCAAGAAAGGTGCGGGTCTCCTCTAAGTCCCTTGTCACATGTGCCTGCCAAATGCACATGCCTTAGACATCCTGGAGCATCCAATGATGGGAGATAACAGTAAATCAACTGTATCCCTCTGCCCAGGCTTGATTCAGTCATCATCACGTAGGCTCTTAGTGCCGTTTGAGGTGAAAGAGGGTACGTAAGACCTCTGCGTGGGGCTGGCAGGTATCGTTAAAACTGGAAGAGAAATACACCCCTCTGGAGTGGCAGCTGAGAGCCAGCTGGATACCCTGGGAACTGGCTAGAGCTAGGGGTCTGCCCAAGTGATGGAACTGAGATCTCTGAGTCTAATCTAGGTTGTGCTGAACCACTCTCCAGGCTCTGCTGACTGTACTGACTAGATCACTATTGATTATAATGGAAAGACATCTAGATCATGTGAAGTTGTCTAAAATTGGGCATGTTTGTCCTGAACCATGTTTGTCCTGAACTGAATTCTAAGTTGTTTCTTTTTTTTTTTTTTTTTTTTTTGCTATTTTGAACACATTAGAACAGAACAGAATAGAATATTTCAGTTTTGTAGGGACCTACAACAATCATCTAATGCACCTGCCTGACTACTTCAGGGCTAACCAAAAGTTAAAGCATTATTCTAATCTGCAAGTAATCCTTTTCTAAAATATGCCCTGTTTTCTTTTATAACACATTCTATGTGTTCTTCTTTTTCCGTAAGTCTTTTATTTTTCTTCAATAACATAAAGAACAATAAAACATCCCTTTCCAAAGTGATGTTTCCAAACACCACTTTCTGCTATAGCGAAGTGAACTGCATCAGTGGCTGACAGGGAAAGCAAATATGACAAAAAGAGTCTGTTTGACTGAAAATTCATTTACTGCTCTGCATACACTGGAGCTGTGCAGTGCAGAAAGGCCACAAAATGTCAGATGTGCTTCTGTATGAAGTTAGTATAGTATCAGGTTTGAATAAAATATGACTTGTAACAAATGTGAATATGGTGTCAGGCAGGTAATGTAGTGTTATAAATACACTCAGGAAACATCTCTGGTTCATCTGTCTGGAAACGAGGAAGGGGTAGAAGTGGTCTTTCCCTTGCTCTCCCTCAGCACACTGCTGCACTGTCCAAACAGATACTGGGATACTGGAAGCAGGAGTCCCTCTGTCTGGAGACCTAAGTCTGTTGCAACAAAATTTTGTGACAGACGTTTTGTGGGCTAAACTGACTTTATCCTTCTCTTGCTCCCAGCACTTCCTAGCATGGGAAGCCAGTGGAGTGTTTTCTACTCTGGTGAAAGGTAATGCCAGGGGAAATTTATTGGGTAAGGACCAGGTGCAGGGTCTGGTGCATAACAAACTTAACAAATCTCTGCAGGAACATGCCCTGTAATCCACTAGAGATGTTCGGGAAGGCCTGCTTGGCATGAAAAGAAGTTGCTGGAAAAGCCTTTTTCTTGTGCAGTGAGTCCTTGGAGTTTAAATGTGTTACCTCATCATCCTCCAAAATGGCCAACATGCATGTATGGGAAAGTGTCTCCTTTTTAAAAAAAGATTGAAGTTTCTTTATCAGGTGCTGGGAGGAATTTTTAATTGCGTACATTTGTGATATATACAGATAAGATGCCTCTGAGTTAATAAATCAGTTAAATGCTTAGTTTAGTGTCGTTAAAGCTATTACTTTAAGGATAAGATGTAGATTTTTAAAGCTAACTCGATTTGTAGTAAAAGTTACGATTTTTCAAAGGCATCTCTGCAATCTGGCTAACCATGTTTTCAAAGTTCCATAAAAAAAATCTCAGCCTTCACTTACTAACGTGACTTACAGTAACTTCTAAAGTGTTGCCTGTGTTTTCTTCCCCACTAGCAGCCAAGGAAACATTTACCACCAAGCCTGAACTTTGGAAGTCCTTGCTGCTACTGCGGGCCCTGTAACGCAGTTCACGTGGACGGACAGCGCCATTGCATCGCCATCGCCATCTCCGCTGATGTTGATGCACCAGCTGCAATAATATTTCAAGTCAATCCCTGATTAGTTAGGGGAAGGTCAGCTATTTCTGACTGGCCTCACCCAGACAGAGAAACAGAATGAAGCTCTGCCATCAGTGTCCTAAAATAGAAGGCCCCTTTCATCTGTCAGGCTTGAGTCAGCCACATGGGACACAAATTAGGAGGCACAAATCGACTCACAGGGCATTTGGAAGAAGGGCACAGGCAGAAAGTCAAGTGAAGAGAAACTTCTTCAGATATGAGCTATATTCTCCAAACAGCTTTTTAGTCACTTTCCCAATAATTTTATTTTACTGTTTCTTCTTAAGTAATTTAGTATTTTTTTTAAGATAACTTCAATAATGAAACTGAGTGTGGGGATATTTTTTGGAGGCTTCTTTGCGGCTCTGGGGGTTTTACTTTTTTTGGTGGCATTTGGAACCGATTATTGGCTTCTTGCTACAGAAATAGGAAGGTGTTCAAAAGCACCTGAAGATGCTGGGGTTAGTATGGACGTTTTTATTTATAATGAGAATTATATGTGTAGGTTTCTTGGATGCATTTATTTTGTAACAATTTATTTCTGTATGAACTTTTCATTATACTCATTTTGACCTCCTGAAGGCTTACAAGCCTGCTTCAAAATCTCTTGTAACCAGTTGTAATCAACTCTAAAATGAATGTCTTTTGTGATACTACTTTTGCAATGTGACAGTCTTTCAAAGGAAGTATGAATGTTTAGATGTGCTATAGCTAACCTATATTCAGACAGGCTGTGTTTCATTATGATGGTGGTGTTTTTTACCTCAGCGTCTAGTTTCAGTTGAACTTCATTCTTTCAGCCATTTAAAATTTGTATGATAATGGCTTTTTTTTTTTTTTTTTTTGGTAGGGAGAGAAGGCCACTTTCCATCATGAAGGTTTCTTCTGGAGGTGCTGGTTTAGTGGGAATGTAGGAGAGAATAACGCCAGCATGTGGAATTTCTGGTATAGTAAGTAACTTTTTCTTTTTACATTATCTACGGTAGTTTGTTCTCAAAATTGTTGTGGGTTTTTTTTTTCCATCTTATGAATCACCAGGTCTCATATGGCTTCTTTGGTGATCAGGTTCTTCAGCTAATCTAAAAGACATTCTTTACAAACATTTTTGTAATATGTACTAAAGGAAGCCTTGGGACAAAATGATACATGTTTAACTGTCAACTTACGCTGTGAGTGTTATGGCTGCCCTGTTAACCCCTGTGAGTGGGTTAAGGAAGGCATGGGTGATTCCACTGTGAAAATGGTGTAGGACACATCATCTCCAGGAGAATTCCTCTACTAAATTCACAGATGACCCAAAATCTCCCATGAAGAAGAGGTCAAGCAAAACATTTCCTGTCTTCAACACTACCTCTGATGTACAGAGCTCCCTCTCCTTACTGCAAGATTTCCGCAGTCCTTGTGAAAAGCAGATGCCATTGTACAAATTTGACTTTAATAACCCACATTTTGCTAAACATATTGCACGATCTTAGGTGGCAAATGTAATATTCACTGTAGTTAATTTCCCCTTGTTATTTATCTGGAGAATTCTGCGGTCAGGAATCTGAAATTTAAATGTGGTTTAAGCTATAGTCAGCCTTTATCTTTCACAAGGAAGAAGGTGATTTTTTATAAGCATTTAATATAAAGGGTGAAATTACCCTTCTCTGGGGATATTGATTCCATAGACTAAATTCATATTTGTTGAAACTGTAAACTTTCTGAAGATGCTTGATATTTTTCATTGTTCTTTCACAACAGAAAAAGTAATTTCCTGGGTTTTTTTTTTTTTTGTTTTGGGTTTTTTTGTGGGATATGCAATAACGAGAGGGAAATAATTAACCCTAACAAAAGAAAGGTACATATGCATATAAAAGCATACGTATGCATTGCATATAAATTGCAGTGTGCCTTCAGCAAGGCTGCTTTACTGTTCCCATAGTACAAATCTGTGTTGCCCTTTAAGGAATATCCTTGGCTGGGTAGCAAGGCTGGTATGTCTTACCAAACCAAATCTGCTGTAAGCTATTGCCTGGAAAAGAACCTGGAATCTTGACCGATGAAACTCAGTTTGCCCATTTGAAGAACAGGCTTAAAATATTTTCTTGTTAAGGCAGTAAAATATTAATCTTTAGCTTTCTTTCACTTTTAGCTAACCAGTCCCCTTCTAAGAATTGTACGCATGCTTACCTGTCACCGTTTCCTCTTATCCGAGATGAACACAACTCAACTTCCTATGACTCTGCAATCAGTAAGTATTTTTTTTGGCTGCAAATGGATACAATGCCTATAGTTTCAAGAAAACAATTTGGATGCTTCAGTATAAAACAGCCTTATCACTCCACACAGTATAATTAATAGAGTTTTTGTGTTTCATACTTCTCATAATTTTACAACATGCATATTTAAGCCACTATTTAGCAAAGCACTTAAATGAATGCTTAGCTTTAAGCATGATGGCAGAATGGAAGTCATTTCTGAAAAGAGAGACATTTCCTTTTTAGTGCTTTTTTTCTCTGACATAAAAAGTATCTTCCTGGGGTTGAATGCATTAAACAAGGACTTCTCATGTATTCCAATAAGACTGTTTTTTCTGTTAAATAAATAACCACATGCGGAAATATATTGCATTTTTACTTTATGAGGAAGGAGGAAAGGGGCCTTGGTACTAAGTTTATCCCACTAACTCAGATATACTGCACCGACTGCTCAACGTGCCAGCTTCTCTCCATTGACACTGAAGGGAGCTGAGACACTGAAGTTACTCTGAATGGTGTGTGCCATACATGAATAATGTAGCCTAAGACTGTAGCAATGGGCAGTTTTGTTTTGGGAACTAAGCTCTTTTTAAATATATATATATTCTCTATAATGGTTCAAAATACTTACTGTGTTAAATTGAGATATTAACACCAAGAAACACTAGTGTGGTAACAGAGATACATACACATATATATAAAAATATATATATATATATATATGGAAGAAAGACTGTAATTGAAAACCTCATGTTTGAATAATGCCTGGAAAGCTCTGTTTTTACAAGTTTTAAAAACAACTTTAAAATATTGGTCACATTTCATCAGATCAAGGGCTTTATGCAAACGTATTTGAAGTAAATAACTTCTGATACTGATTTTGTATGACTTTTTAAATATCTCATGATGTGTGGATGCTGCATGTCTCTGAGCTCACTGACTCAGTGACTTAAGTGATTCCCTCCTGTCCTGAAGCTGTAATTATGCCTTTGCTGAGTTTGAATCAAATTTTTATGCTGCAGACTTGAACAAGAAAGTAAGTTGGACCGATCATGGTTCTGTTAAACTTTAGAAATTATGAACTGTTTGTTGAGTAAGAATTCAGACCTTACCATTCAGAAATCTGATCTGTAACTTCACAGCACATCTGGAACAGTTTATCTTTCCATTTGAAAGTGACAGAGTCATCAGCTGCTGATAATCTAGACAGAGTTTGTATTCCACCATTCCACCTCATACATTCATGAAGGATCCTCAAATTATATTGCACGATTACACAGAAGTGGACAAACAAAGAATAAGGAAAGGAGAAGGAATACCATCAGAAGTTTAATTAATTTTAGTTAATGTTTGCCAAAAGAACCACTGCTCAAATATAATTTTCCAATCTATATTCCATATTAGGAGATTAAAAATAGACAGAA